GGGGGGGGGGGGGGGGGGGGGGGGATGTGGCGAATACCTTCGGAAGGGAAAAGGGCTGTGGCGAATCCCGTCATCGGACATTCCTGATCCTCGATTCCGTTGTCGGACGATCGATATCCCTCTCATATTCATAGTTCTGCTGATCATTTTTATGGAAGATGGGTAGTATTGTGGGACTTCGCCACTGGCGAGGAGAATACCTACGAGATCGAGGATCAGAAACGTTCGATGACAATCTTCACTACCACTGGATGTGGAAATAATAGATCAGAAGGATTGTACTAAGCGTTGAGTGTAAGGTGATATTTTACGGTGCAAACTGTCTTTCATCTTCGTTTAGTTGTAGCAGTAAGGTGATATTTTACGATGCAGTCTGTCTGTGTTTCATCCCTTAGCTGTAAACATACAGACCAGGCTATGCATGCGGATAGGAGTGGCAATCATCAGTACAGCCTCCTACCCGCCACGTATTGAAAGGACATGTAACTAATTTGCAAGACGAACTCTTCCTGAAGCCACTTCTCGAAAAGAGCTGTGCTAGAATCACTGTCTTGAATTTTTAGCTTTAAAAATCAAAAGTTGTGAAGCTTGACTGAAATCCGGCGAATTTTTCATATAATTTGAACTGTTCGATATTTTACAATTATGAATGCAATTCAGCTCCCATAATTTACTTGTTTTCAGGAGCACTAGCACAGCTGGTACCAATTCTTACGGAAACACTAGCCAAGCAAGGTGATTCGGACGACGATGACGATTGGAATCCGGCAAAAGCTGCCGGTGTATGTATAATGCTTTTGGCGCAATGCACTGGAGATTCTATCGTTGATCACATCTGTCCTTTCATCGATAAAAACCTGCAAAATCCTAATTGGAGGTAATTTTTCACAGTTTTTTTTTGGATTTTTTTGGTGAACTGAGATTTTTTAGTTGTACTCAGACATGGAATGACACGCTTGATGTACTGGTAAGTGTTGGGTGGAGTAACCTGAAGTCAGGGTTTTTGAATTTGGTAGTGGAAAAACTACTGTCTCATAACCATTCGCCGAATTTATGTTGGGATTTCCAAAATTATGTCGGGATATTTAATCCCCGGCAAAATTTTTCGGATAGAATTCTTGGAATTTCAATCAATATTTTGCCTCTCGTTCGATAGTCTTCACGTTGCAGCCCACCTGTAGTTTCGGTTGCTCGACAGGTGTAGGGGGAGGGGGGAGGACGGGGAGGGAGGAGAGGAATAATTGACAAGTACTGATACTAAAGCAGCTGGTCCTAATGGATAAGTTAATGTCGGTTATGAAAGAAGGAATTATCATAGTTTATAAGCAGCCTTTACGAGAGGGGAGAGTGTAGACAGTTTTTTCCAACGTGTGGTCGCTTTTGGCATTGGCGGATTCGGGACAAACTCCTGGGAGAGAGAAGGGGAAGGGGCGACGGAGGATGGGGAAAGAGTTGGACTTCTGAGGAAGAAAGCCCTCACCCACCCTGGAACTATACAAGAACTAGTAATAGAGTTGTAACACTGCTACTTAGAGTTACTATAGTCTTGCAAATGATCAGACCCAGGCTTTTGAAAGACCCCTCCCCTCCTTTCCCCCTTTCCCTCCTGGATTCGCCTATGGCTGTTGGCAAATTGTTTTCGCTCGGGCTACTTCTGAGGGCTCGTGCTTTTCGTACAGAATGAAATTTAAGGGCAGTTTATGAATTATGTTTTAGTTTTTGTATTATTTTCCCGTATTTTTTTGTGAAAATTTAGATATCGTGAAGCATCGATAATGGCATTCGGTTCGATACTGGACGGGCCGAATGTTGTCATGTTAACACGACTTGTTGAGTCCGGATTGTTTCAGATTATTGCTTCATTATCCGATCCTCAGGTTTGTACTTTTGATTTTTCTGGGCATATCCAGGGAGTTTTTTTTTTTGTGATAAGACAACATGAGTACTAAACGTTTTTAATACCAAATCTTATGTTTGGAAGTAGTCAAGATGATGGCATGATTTTTGTAGTGGAGTATCGCTCTGATATCCAAACTTGCATAGAGGCATCAGTAATAAAAATAATGATAATAATAACAATAATAGTGATAATAATAACACTAATAATAGCAGCAGTGATGGTAATGACGATAATAATTGCAGTAACAATAATAATAATAGTAATAATGATAATAATAACAATAATGGTAATAATAGTAATGGTAATAATGATGTTAATAATAGTGATAATAATAACAATAGCAGTGATAATGGTGGCAGTGTTTGCAGTGACATGACACTATTTTTACCGTTATTATTATTATTATTGTTATTATTGTTATTGTTATCATTATTATTATTATTATTATTATTATCA